AATTTTGAGTAGCCTTCAAATACTGTTTACCAGCTCCATCGCATTCAGACAGCAGTGAGACCACCTACAGCTTACAGTCCCATCAGTGACACACACTCATTACTAGGGGCTAAGGAGACGGCTCAGTGTCAAGTGGATCCCAGCACTCACTTAAAAAGCCATATGTGGCAGTGTATGACTGTAATCCTAACGCTGGTACGTGGAGACAGGAGGACCCTAGGAGCTCCCTGTCCAGCCAGTCCAACCAGTGAGCTCCAGGTTCAGTGAGAAATACTGTCTCATAAAATCAAGTGGACTGTGAAGGCACTCGACTCTGGCCTCCATATGTGCACCCACCCACATATTATCTGTGCATACATTCAGTGCACACCTGGAGAGCTTTTCATTACCATGTACTAAGAACTTTGCATGTATTATCTTAATTACTTACAGAAGTCCTGTGGAGTAAGTTCTTCATCCAGGATCACGAAGCTAGTAATCAGTACAACCATAATCCAATGGTGAAGCTTATGCCTTAAAGCACCAAGCCATTACCTCTGAAATCGGTGCCCATGGCATGGATTTTATTGGATTACTCTGCCTTGGAAAGGGCTTGCTGCTCCATAGAATAAGAGGAAATACAAGTCTGGGTGAATGGCTACTCTGGCTCTGTGAGGTGCAGTGGCCAGGCCAAGCCAGGTCCAGAAGTTTCCACAGGCAGGAATAGTAAGTGATGACTACCAGACCTGAGACAGTTTTCTCCTTCCAGTTGTCTCTGGAAGCTTCTGTTTTCCCTGACGTTGATTTTTTCTTTCACATGCTTCCCACCATCTTTCATTATAAATACAATCAGCCTAAAGTGGATGTGAGAAGAAAGCCCTGGAGGAGAAAGGCAGGCAAGGGGAAGGACAGGCCTCACTTTGCTTGTACTCCTGGGGGATTCGTGAGTCTTCTGTAAAAGCACCAGGCCTCTGAAGAAGCACAGGCTTTAGGGGCTAGGGAGGTGGTTCTCTTGGCAAAGCACTTGGCGCACAGGGATGAGGACCTGAGTCCGGATCCCCAACACACATGTAAAAGCAGGGTGCAGCAGCACACGTCGGTGACCCTGGCAACGGCCAGCAAGGGAGAGAGACAATGTGAAAAGTAAGGCAATCGGAACCCAGCATCAACCTGTCCTTTATGTGCACACACACATGCATAGTCATGTATAGACACCTGTGCACAATCACAACACAAACACACACCACACACCACACCTGCTCCCACCAGTGGAAGACCATGCTTACTAGAACCCATGCATGTTCCCAGAACTTTGAGTGTGAGCTGATCTCATTGTACTTTAGGACCTAACTGTTATATTTGCTTTCAAAAAATAGTAAGTTTGATAGGCAAGAGGATTATTACTATAAAAACTATGGAAAGCTTTGGTACTATTCAAAGAATGAGTTGCTAAAAATACCTTGCCATTGGATTTGAAGTAGATGAACAGGCCGGGCAAGAGTGGAGGAGCAAACTCTAGGTGTCTGCACTCAGATCTTCAGAAATAATCTTTCATTCTCACACTGCTTTAAAGAAACTAAGACAAACACTGTATCAAAACATTGAAGATCTGATTGACACACTGTGTAGACCGTTCCCAGAGGTGCAGACTCAATTCTCCATCGCCAGAAAGTTCCTGCGAGTTTTCCAGCAAGTGGCAAGAGGCTTAAACGTCAGGAAAACATATCTTAGGGTCTGTGTTTTAAGAGCAGTGGGGCTGGAGACATAGCTGAGATGGCAGAGTGTTTGCCTGGCTTGCACAAAGCCCCGGGTTGAGTGCACAGCGCTGTAAAACCAGGCATAGTGGTACATGCCTGTGACCACAGCAAGCCTGCCACCTCAGCACACAGGATAGAGGCTAGAAGGTCAGAAGTTCAAGGGCACCTTCAGCTGTGTAAAGAGTTTGGGGCTAGCTCAGGGAAAGACAGACAGAAAATAAGAGAGTGGGGTTATCAACAGATATCTACAATCCACTGTCTTATTGAGTATCTAGTTCACTGATAGAGAAAATTAGATTGGCAAACACTTGTGCAGTATTGAAATATGGCCATCTTATTAGATGTTACCTCCTAAAACAGCGATACTAAATCAGAGCATCTGTGGTCTTACCACACAGCATCTCGGGACCACTGACATAATTAGCAGAGTCAACTGAAGAACAAAAATGCAGTACACTTTGTGTAGAAATTAATAGGAATCTCAAGGTGGTGATGGTAGCAAAGTCTTCTGTGCATGTGGCCCTGGCAGGTGTGCAGGTGACGCGTCCACAGTGGCATTCTTCTGCCTTTTACATACTGGCAAATCAATAAGATTTTTTAAAGTTTCTCTTCATTATTATTATTTTTATTTTATTTTCACTGACGTTTTTACCTGCATGTATGTCTGTGTGGGGGTGTCAGAAGCCTTGGAACTGGGGTTCTTCACAGACTGTTGTGAGCTGCCTGTGGTGCTGGCACTGAACCTGGGTCCTCTGGAAGAGCAGCCAGTGCCCCTAACTGCTGAGCCATCTCTCCAGCCCTCGGATTACTTTTTTTAAGTTTAGTCTGGATTTTTTTTTTTTTAAGTTTAGTCTGTACTAGTTGATTCCCACAAATGTTCACCTGGTGAACTTGATCAAAGATTGTTTGTGTCATAAATCATTCCTTTACATTTTTATTTTATGTAGTGTGTGTGTGTGTGTGTGTGTGTGTGTGTGTGTGTGTGTGTGTGTGTGTGTGATATGTATGTGGTGGATGCACACATGCTACAGTGTAAATGTGGACATCAGAGGACAATTCTCAGGGCAATTTGGTACTCTCCTTGCATCACAGGATTTGAGGATTGAGCTCAGGTCATCAGGCTTGGAAGAATGCTTTTACCCTGAGTCATCATGCTGGCCCATAACTCAAACCTTTGACTAAAACAAACAAACAAAAAACCCCAAAACTGGCAAATAGCATTGATAATCTCTTTCTCTTTCTAGGTAACTTTTTTTTTTTTAACTCGCTGTCAGCAATTTAAAAGGTCTTTGTTCCTTCTGCCTGACCCATGCCTCCCAAGAATGACATTCATTATTCTATGAAGTGAATGATTGTGGATTGTTTAACTATGTTCTGTGAGCTAAAGAGATTGAGTTTCCACACTGAAAACAAAAACGGAACACGAGAGTGTATGTTAGGATTTTTAGGATACTACCTACATCAGGATAAATTTGTTTAGGGTAAATGGCTTAGAGTGAAATGCTCAAGATGCAAAATGTTACACATTTTGGCACAGGAAAGCTCAGGTTTTTACTGGGCTCAGATGAACTGAGATCCTGACAAAGGAGAAATAAACAAGGTGACCTCATCACACTGATTTGTTGGAAGATAAACATGTAAATGGTAAATAAATCCCGTGTACCATGACACCACCAGACAAATCTAAGTATGACGTATGACAAGCAGAAAGAAGAGATGAGATTAAATCCAGAATTAAAAATCAGTCCTGCACTAGCTAGAGAGGCCCTCTGTGGTTTGACATATCGAAGAACAAAAGCAGTAAATGATGTCATAATAAAACAGTAGAATGACTGTACCCAGGAAAGCCATACTTCTAAGCAACTCACAATTACCGATTTTATTAAATACATATGGCATGCATTTAGTTAGAATGTAACATTTACAACATGTATGTGTTACCTTGGTTTCCTGCTTGACTTTCCTCTAATGAGTTTATCTGGTAAAAACAGATGAGAACTAACAACAGGTGCAGGAGAAAGTCGTAGATGACATCTGTTTAGTGTGCACTTCTGAGTGAGCAGGGAGGCAGAAACACGAGCTAGGTTCCCTGATGTTGTTGTGTGGTGGTGTGTGTGTGTGTGTGCGTGTGTGTGTGTGTGTGTGTGTGTGTGTGTGTGTGTGTGTGTAGGGGGGGATAAGTTCCTGAAGCTACCCACCCTGTGGGGGAACAGCAGGAATCACAGACCTTTGTGTCTTTGGATTTGTTGCTCACATTTAAAATCTTTATCTTCCCATGGGCTTTTCACTGTGGCTCCACACTGGCTTCTCAGGAGGTACCCCACTTGCAGGAGGAAAGCTACCCTAAATGAGTTTCCTGGCTGCCCATAGCACAATAGTCACTGTCTAAAAAAGACCTTCTAAATTTGGGGAGACTTCATTCTGGGAGGGTGATGAAGCTTCATTATATTTGTATAATGACTGTTGAGCTGGTTCACAGCAGAAGATAGGTGTGAATGGTGAAAGACCACTTTCACGTCCCCTGAACAGACCAAAGGGTTCTGTTGTGATGCTGAATGCTGTGGGTCTGGGCAGCTATTTTCCACCTGGGAGATTTCTGGGAACTGGATCTTTAAATGAAAAATAATAAAAGGAAACAGGTTCCTGAAGTCTGTTAGACTTCCTGCTTGCCCGAAGTTTTATTAATCTAAGACTGATTACTTCCAGTTATCCACCAAGGAATGATAGAACTGCTGCGCCCCCTCCCCCTTTAGAGGAGAAAAACTGAACTTTATTAACATCCACTAAACTCTGACCCCACTTAGCTCCATGGTCATCCTGCAGGGCTAGACATCAAGACCCTTTTGGAAGGGGGTGTGAAGGCAATGTCTCAGTTACCCCAGTGAATAGGTCCGTTCAGCTGGGCCACCGCCTGTACTCCTGTACTGACATCCTCCCTCCGCCTTCCCTTCCCTTCCCTTCCCTCTCTTTTCCTCTGCTACTATTCTATCCCCACCCCAGAAGCTTTCTTCCTCCTCTTCCTTTCCGCTTCTCTCCAACTGAATGTTGTCTACATTCCAGAATCCAGGTGGGTTCTCCTGCCCGTGTCCTGGAGTTGTGTGGGATCCCCGTGTGGTATGAGAAGATGAAACACATCCGTTACCATCTCTTCACTTTTTCCTCCCACGCCCCTGCTGCCACAGGGGGCCCGCTAAGGTGATCCAAGCTTTCCCAATGCCGTCCTGTAGTCCCTGATGCAGCTTCTCTATGCTCTGTCCCTTGTAGGGAACGTGACGGGAAACAGCAATTCCACGTTCATCTCCAGCGGGCAGGTGATGAACTTCAAGGGCGACATCATCGTGGTGTACGTCAGCCAGACCTCGCAGGAAGGCCCGGGCCCTGCGGAGCCGGAGCCGGAGCCGGTGGGCCGCCCGGTGCAGGAGGAGACGCTGGCGAGCAGAGACTCCTTTGCAGGCACGGCTCCGCGCTTCCCCGACACGCACGCCACCGGGGCAGGGCTGCAGGAGCAAGGCGCTTCCCGGACGAAGGACGGGACATCGCGGCCAGTGCAGGAGCAGGGCGGGGTGCAGGCCTCACCCCGTACCCGGGGGTCGGGACAATGCGCAGAATGACCTGCTTGCCCTGGGCGCAGGGCACCATTGCCTTTCCCCAAACAGATGTGTTGTGGCTAGCCACTGCGCCCCTGTCACAGATGCGGGCCGCTGGCGTGGTGGTGGAGCCCACCTCTCACTTCCTCCTGTGCCTCTCTCCTCTGACTCCCACCACCCGGTGTCATTCAGTTTGCTCCCCGCCCTTTTTTTTTTTCAGTGTTGGTATCCTACCTTACTGAGGTCTGTACCCCAGCCCCGTATTTATATTTCACTTGCTTTTGTAGTGTGCTTCTCGATACTTTCTCCTTTTTCTTTCTATCTTGACTATTTAAGGGTTTTCATGACAATTCTGAAGGTGCTGTCTCCTTTACATTATTTTGCACTCTGTCCTACAGTGGTCTGGTGATGGCTTTTGCCAGTGTCCTCTAAGCACTTTCAGAAAAGGCCAGATGTGTAAAGCTGGGCAGTGAAGTGCAAGAAATGAGTAGAGAGACTTTTATTTTCTGGAAATATTCTGTGTCTCAATTTTTCTCAAAAGAAGGAAGGCCTCACCCCCAACAACAACAAGCAAGGTTGCCAGCCCGTATAGATCCTGGAGAACTAAGTTCAGGGTGTGGCCTTGTCTCCTACCTTTTTTGTTTGTTTGTTTGTTTTTTGCCAGGGTAACAGGTACTTGGCCACTAAATCTCAAGAAATCCTAGCTTTTGTGGTTTGGCATTCTTATTTTTAAATGATTAGCTGTCTAGAAAAGATGGAAAAGGTGAATAGGACATGGGGCCAAAGAAAAAAAGAAGGTTCCCCAGGAATTTCCAGAAAGAGTGAACAAAGTTGACATGCTAATTTGCATATCTCTTTCTGCATAAGAATGTCGGAAATGTGTTCAGGCAGTAGACCCTCTTTCCTTCCAAAGTATTTGTGCATGAGTAATTCAGCCTTGTGGAAGTAAAAAACAATCCTCCATGAGTGAGTGAGTGAGTGAGTGTGTGTGTGTGTGTGTGTGTGTGTCGCTCATGCATTTAAATCACAAACCAGGAGATCTAGAGAGAGGGTTTTGGTGAAGAAGACTAAAGAGTCTGAGTTCAATGCCCAGCCCCCTCCTGGGCTGCTCACAACTACTTTTAACTCCAGCTCCAGGGGATCCCATGTCCCGTCCCCCCCCCCCCCCCCCCCCCCCCCCCCCCCCCCGTCCTCCACAGGCAACTGGTGCATATACACACACAAAATAAATTACAAATCAAGTTTCCATGATGTGAATATAAAAAATTAATTATCCTCCAGGTGGTTTTCTTTTGGCCTGGGTCCTTTTGCAAGGAAGCAGTTTAAGACGGAAAGCAGCCACTGGGTGGTTTTTATCGTGAGTACTGGCTCTCAGATCCTGAGGAAAAGTGGGATCACTGAAGCAAATTTCACGGTTTTGTAATCTGGGGGGGTTAGAAGCATGTTGATAATGGTCACTGTACAGCCATGAATACCCAGCTGAACAGAAGGCCCATCTATCACTGGTTTCCTCCTCCCGACTGCAGTCTCCCTGGGGTCACAGCAGCTGATTGCGATTTTTAATGCAAAGGTAGAGAATGGCTCTGTAATTTATGGAGCTCTTTCACTAACATAAAGAACTGCAGAAGCCGGGCGGTGGTGGCGCACGCCTTTAATCCCAGCACTCGGGAGGCAGAGCCAGGCGGATCTCTGTGAGTTCGAGGCCAGCCTGGACTACCAAGTGAGTTCCAGGAAAGGCGCAAAGCTACACAGAGAAACCCTGTCTCGAAAAACCAAAAAAAAAAAAAAAGAACTGCAGAAAATAACTACAGTGTTGGAATGGTGCAGTGATGGAGTTCTGTTAGTATCCTTCCAAAGAGAGATGTTACTAAATTCAACAAAACCATTATACCTTTTGGTATGGGACGTATCAAATAAACTCCACAAAGTAGGATGCAGAGGTAAGAGGTGCACGCACATCCACCACGACTGTCACCTCTCTGCCCCCACTTCGCCTTTGTACTTCCATTTCCCCCGAACAAAGCCAATAATGACAGTTTAACATCGTTTTCCAACCCGAGATATCAAAAGGATGCTTCAGGGAAGTTAAAGTACTTTGAACCCCTAAAATCAAAAGTGCCACCGGCATTAAGAATCTACTTTGGGGGAGGGGTAACACAGTTCCCCACATTGATCCCTGCTAATGTTGTTATATTGGTTCAAAGAAAATCAAATGATAGGAAATACATAATGAAGATAGATATATGCATGTGTGTAGTCAAAATGTTTGTGACAAATATGAACAATATAATGAAAAAGTATTTCAATGTAAAGAGACTATTAAACCTTTATTTGTTCATAAAAGATTATTTTTCATGTCTTGTTAAAACAAAGATTACAAAAACTATGATCCAGCCAGGCGTGATGGCACACTCCTATTGCTCGAATCGTAAATCGGTCTTTTAATAAAAAACCCAGAGCCTGATATTGGGGTCAATGCTGAAAGATCACAGAGACAAAGGAACAAGCCACAGTCATGTGTCACCTCACCAACCCCACGAATCGTCTGGCTGAAATCCTCTGAGTCCTCAACTGAAAAGCCTCAGCCAATAGGCCTCTAGCTGAATGAGGTTCCTCACCTAAAAGGCTTCTAGTTCCTGTCTCCTCATGCCTTATATACCTTTCTCTACCCAGCCATTAAAGGCGTGTGTGCTTCCCAAGTACTGGGATTAAAGGTGTGTGCCACCACTGTCTGGCTCTGTTTCTCTCCTAGACTGAGTCAACCTCATGTAGTCCAGGGTGGCTTTGAATTCACAGAGATCCAGACAGATCTCTGTGTTCCCAGTGCTAGGATTAAAGGTGTGTGCCACTTCTGCCTGGCCTCTATGTTTAATCTAGTGGCTCATTCTGTTCTCTGATCTTCAGGCAAATTTTATGAGGGTACACAATATATCACCACACACTCCTTTAATCCCAACACAGAATCAGACGGATCTCTGTGAGTTCAAGGCCAAGGTGGTCTGATGTTGTTCCTAAGGATGCTGTCCACTTTGTAGCTTTAGACAGGATCTCTCACTGACCTGGAACTGGCTGATTCAGCTAGGCTGCCTAGTGAGTCAGCAAGCTCCCGAAATCCATTCTACAGCACTAAGATTACAAGCCCATGGTACCACATCTGGTTTCACAGGTGTCCTGCAGGTAGAACTCAGGTTCACATGCTTGTGTATACCAACTGAGCTATCTCCCCAGTTTTAAACCAACTCTTTGTGACATGCTTGGCAAAAGGGATGAACATGAGCAGAGGTCTGTCTTTAGTGGGAGAAATGAGTTGTTGAAATGTTTGTTCTTTGGTGGACTGATTGCATGTGACCTCCCACTCCATTGTCTATTGACTGTGAGGAGCTGTAGGGAGCACTAAATATGAGTTGTATAACTTGCTTTGCAGTTGGGGATAAAGGGCTGCTTTTATATAGGATGCTTTTAATGTTTGGGCCCTGAGGGGTGAGAGAAAGGAGATACAGAGAGCTGGAGACCCAGGACCTAAGTGGAGGGACTGCCAAAGGAAGCTGCTGGAAAGGGGTTGTCTGTGGACTTCCTGGGCCCTAGGGCAGTGATGATGAACAGGCTACCTCCCACTGCTAAAGCCATACCAGAAAAGAGGTGGGACTTGACACTGGATGATGGGAGTGTCCAGGGGTAGACTCAGCAAGAGTTTAGCTGACATCAGTGAAGCTGAGCTCAGTGAGTCCTGAAATCCTTGACAACAGACATATGGAAGCCACCCCAAGAAACTGCCTTTCCACATTCCTAAGGACCTCAGTGTCTATTGACACCCTCCGTCATGGTTTCCCATGGCTTTTCTGAGCCTGACCGTCTCTCTCTTTCTCCTTACCTACAGTTATCTGGGGTCATTGTTGGCCAAAAGTATACTTTCAATTCCTGTTAGTAAATTTAATATACAGAAATGCTTCTCAAGTTAAAGGAAATGAGAAAAAAACTTCAACAAGATTATCAATAGTACAGAAGGTAAAATCATCTGTCCTGTAACTTGTAGCTTCTTTCTGGCCAAAGAGCTGGTAACATGCTCGCTTTTGTCTATGTGATGGAACAGGCTGACATTTCCAATCAGGCCTCACTGAAGCTTCATCTCATGCACGTGCCGCACTTTCTGTTTGTGCTGCGGGGGAGACATCAGTCCAGAGGTGTGGGGGATGAAGTGCAGCCACACCCTATCCAAGTTTCCCACAGGTCTCTTGGTGTCCCTCTTGATAATTGACATCTTCTAGACTTGGAAGCCATGCATACTTCATGCCATTTCCTGAGTCAGACCACATACCTGGGTTGAGCTCTGCTACCCACCACAGACACCTATCCATTTCTGAAACTGGAACAAAGGGATACATCTTTCCATAAACAGTTGGCAAGACCATGACACCTGACCCAAATGCTGTCACCTGCTGCTGACATGTACATAGAAGTTATCTGCTTAATTTCATATTATCTTGTCCTGAGAGCCAACAGTTAAAATGGTCCCTATTGGTCTTTCTGTCATAGCTAAAGACCTGCAAGGAGAGTGAATACCCACATGAGGCTGAAAGACTGTGTTGTTTTCATATAAGTTTTCACTCCAAGTTCAGGAAGAATAATAAATTGGCCATCAGCTCAGAAGAGGTTATACTAGCGAACCAAATCACTATGTGAGGGCATTAGAGTCCAACCAAAGCTTCCAGTGTGTGTTGGGATTCTGGATAAAGTGCTTACCTTGCATGCATGAGTCCCATCCCCAGAACCTATGTAGAATAAAGCCAGAAGTGTGCTCTTGTTATCATAGGGCTGGGGAGGCAGAGACAGGCCAAACCCTGAAATCAATGGTCAGCCAGCCTCGCCTACCTGGTAAGTTCAGACTTCAAATGAAAGACCCAGCCTTAGAAAGGTAGACAGCCCCTGGAGAATGGTATCAAAACATCCTCTTACACACACACCCCACAACCCCTATACAAAGCTGTCACTGTACCTAAGCTCTTGGTCTCCCGAGAGCAAGGAGGCAGGATGCAAAAGCTTGGTGAACACAAAAATTACGAGAAAACCCACATTCTCATGATGAGGTTCTTGAAGGCTACCTTCAGGGGCAGAGGAGTGGCACAGATTCATTTTCACTGATTTTTGTGATCTATTTCAATGGCTAAGAAGTTGTGAAAATTCATATTTAAGGCTTTTATTTACCACATCTGTGGAAAATAACATTTTTAACATCAGCTTTCTGTAGAGTTTTTTATATGGAAATGAGCACATTCTTTTTAGTTATAGCCTTATGAGTTCTGACAAAGTGTGGTTGTGTGCTTAGCACCATTGCAAACAAGATGCAGGATGTTTTCAGCACCCCTGCACCCTATCTCCCTTGAGTGAGACCCCCTGCCTGTCCCATGCCACTGACAACCCCGTGCTCTCTGTTCCTGCACTTTTACTATGGATGGGTGTAGCCGGAAGCCATTTGAGCTGGACTTCTTCCAAACAGTGCTGCTGCAAGCCATCCAAGTTGATATAAGCTTTTGTATGGCTAGACATTTACTCACTGACATTTAAAGTTCTTTTCTGTTGGAGACAATTACCAATAATTGTCTAACTTTAAAAACTGTTGTGGACATGGAATGGGATTTCATTTCTCTTGGGTAAGCATCAGGAGTGAGATAGTGATGTCACATGGCCATTGCATTCTACTTTTTAAGAAATCTCAAACTGTTTTCCGGTGTCTATAGGATTTGGCATTCCCATCAGCAACAATGAGAGGCTGGTTGCTCCACATTCTCCTTAGCACTTACATTGTCAGCCCTTTGGG